CATCGCCGCCTCCGCAGGTAGCGGGCCGGAGGCGCACGGGTGCCCGCCCCGGAGTCGTCACCCCCCCGCCGCGGGGCGCCGGCTCAGCCCTCCGCCTCCCTCCCCTCGGCCCACGCCGCCGAGCTTCCAGCGAGCTCCGCCGTCGGCGGCGGCCCCGTCCTCCCCTGCTGCAGCCGCCGGGCCGAAGGCGAGCGAGTTGTGCGGGGCCGAACGACACGGAGAGAGAGAGAGAAGCCCCGCCCGCCCGGCCCGACCTAGCGGGACCAGCCTCCCTTCCCCGTGCGGGCTCCCACACGGCGGCTCAGGGGCGCGCCCCTCCGCCCGCTGGGAGTTGTAGTTTCGCTGCCCCCCTCGTGCGAAGCGGGCGCGGAGGCGGGAGGACGGTGAGGGAGGACTACAAGCCCCAGCATGCTTTGTGAGGCGTCCCGGCGGGGCGGGGCGGCGCGGGAGCGCTGGGAGGGCGGTTGCCCGCCCCGTGAGGGGCTTGAGGTGAGTTCCCCCGGCCCGGCGGGGCCGTAGGGCGCCGTTCCCCCGAGGGCGCCCTGCCTTCCCCTCCTGATGCCCCCCCGTGGGCCGGGCGCGGCTGTGGCCGCCGTTTGTGTGCGGGTTTGTGTTTCGGTGAGGGCCGGGGCTGCACCCCCCGGTCCCTCTGTGGAACCTGAGGTGTCCCGCCCGCCCAAAGCCCGCAGGCCACACCGATGAGGTGGGCCTTGGAGCGGCTGTCCCTGCTTCTGCTCATACACGCAAACGTTCCTCTGCTTTAGCAGCGGCGTCGATATGTTCCGCTAACGCTGCTGGAAGAACCGGGCCGGTCCCCCAAAGCTGGGGTGTGTGTACAGACCACTTAACTCTGTCCCGGCTTCGTGAGGCGCCTCATCCCAGAAAGGTAGGAGCCCCTGAGGAAAAGCATTTTCCAGGAATGCAGCCCTGCCCCGAGCCCTTCTCGCACAGCACCGCCCCGGCGCGACATGGCTCCAGCAGCAGGGTCACCTGCGGGAAGCCCCAGGGACGGAGACTTCCCACAGCGAAGGCAGAGCTGCTCCCACAGCTGCCTGCTGATGTTTGGGCCTTGTATGTTCTCCATGAACTGCCAGAGATAAGCGGGCACGCACTGTGCCAACAAGGGTTCCACTTTGACACACCTTTTACGAAGGTTTGCACCTGCAGAGGATGGACTAGTCTGGGGGACACGGTAGGAATCAACCCCCTCAGTTCAAAAATCCCAAAAGGATGTGAATCAGATTTCCAGATAAAGAGATGTTACATTCAGCCCGTATCTCTCACGGTTGAACGTTGTCCTAGGAGACACCAAAAAAACCCAGCGTGAGGATGCAGCTGAATTCTTGTACGTAGGCAATGTGTTTTCTGTTCTCATCATTCCATTTCTAATTTTGGAATGGAATATTTATCCCCTTAATTTAATATGATAAGCTAATTCTTTGTCCATAAACAGTGCCTGGTAACAAAGGAACCATGGAACAGATTGACCAGTACTGGATATACCCCCTTCCCTGGAGGAAATTAATTAATTTGATAACCAAATTATACAGAGTAGCCTGGTAGAGGCTCTGATCCATTTTATTGATACACAAGAATAATTTTGGAAATGTTATGCCACATGGGAAAAATACAGAGGGTGTCTCCCTCTGCAAGGTGTAAAGGAGGAGGGTTTTTTTGGCAGGTGGGCAGCAGGATGTAAAACCAGTTTCCGATATCATCTCTTGTGCAAATGCATTGGCCTCATTTTTTCCACATGTAATAGATGCTGCTGCATTATTCCTTCCCATCTCCTCCTCCTCCTCTAGTGCCTGTTGTCAACAGTTTGCCTGTGTCTCATAACTTAGATATCACCGCATTTTTTATTCTTTGAAATGCTCTTTATAAACAGTTAATAACTTTTCTTTCTATTTTCACGAATACAGCATCAATATATGCCAGCAGAAGGCTGCTGACAGAAATTTGGTGGTTCACTGACAAGGATTTTTCGTCTTTATCAGGTTTTTATTAGCATATTGCTGGAGAGCTGTCTTCAGTGCTTTGACAATATTAATGACTTATATGATATCAAATGGCACTATTCTCTCTTGAGAGTATGAAATATTTTAGACATTCGCAAATAGAGCAGAGAGTTTATGTAAAAATGTCATTGTTGGCTTATCTTCACAGGTAGCACTCAGGCTAATTTCAGAAACACTCATCAGAAGCAAAACATTTGTAAACAATACCAACACCTCGCTCAAGCTGCTGTCTTACTCCACAATATTTCCCTTGGGTTTTAAGATGTTACAGTTGGGAAGTGAACTTCAGTCATATTAATTGAAAGAAGAAATACATAAGAAATTTGAGGAGCGCCTGGAAAAATAATTGTAGAAGTCAAACTCAGAGAACAAACACGCTTTTACTTTCAGTAGTGACTCTGCTTTGATTCTAACAGGATCATCCAGTGCCACATGTTGTACTTCTCACGTGATAGCCTGTTCTAGTCCCTAATCAGTCCCAGTATTGCACTGGAATTTAGTGTATTATTGACGTCCTTTTGAAAACATTATGAACACATTAGCAACGCCTCTTTAAAGCAGCTTTTAAAACAATTTGAAAACTCCTATATTTTAACCCTATTTAACATTTCTTCTTGCTCTGATTTGAGTGAACGAAAGAAAAGAAGTCTTTCATTCTGGGAAGTTGCCACAGAACACGAGCCAAACAAAAGAAAGGGCCAGGAAAGTACAGTTACGTGAGGGAAAAAAAACCCCAAATTTTCCAGTGGTATCAATCTTGGAGCACATCAAACATTCCCTCACTGGAGCCAGGAAATAATGTTCCTCAGTCTTACATCATGTATTGGAGCACGCTGCTCCAACAGCAGAATGAATTACAGTTTGTTTGATGTTTTGCTTCCCTGTGAAGTACCTTGTATTCATCATCACTTGATGCAGACCCGCATCATTTAACCCATCTGTAGGATACAGAAATTTCTGTATACTTCAGTGAAGGTCAGGCACCCACATGACTGATTCTTGATTACCATGGTTCATACAGGTTTATCCTAATCCCAGTTCACCAAACCAGTACTTCAGTAAACTTCCTCTTTAAAAGCGGTTTCTTTTTTTTGTTGTTTCTTTTTTCTTTTTTCGCAATGTGTACAGGAAATGAACTTAGCACTTCAGAGAAATAAAAATATGATCAGAGGTCATACCCATCTCTACTCTTCACAACACATCTGCTTGCCAGTTTCTAGGTGTCTCTGTTGATAAACTCCTTACTGTTCAGCCAGGCCTCATTTTTTGGTGTTCAGCACAATTAATATTAAAACAAGTGTCTGTCTGAGCAGAGGGTGAAACAGAGCTGGATTTCCTTTCCCCATCACAAGAACCTCGCTCTCCCCCCGTGGTCCGCATGACACTCCCCACGTGACAGGAGAATGGCGTGCTGTGGCTAACTGGGAGCTGCACACACGCTGACTGGGGGCCAGCTGGCTGCCACCAAATGACAAAAAGTGAAGTGACATTAAGATGGGGGTGAGTGGCTGAGCCAGAAGGAGCAGCTCACTAGCACCAAGGGAGGAAGGTCTCCCTCTCTCCCCCTTTTCCTGCTCTTAAACTAGCACTGAAGGGTGGCAGTTGTCCTCTCCTCTCCTCAGACCCTTACACCCTCTCCCTTGCAGTCTCTCCACTGCTCACTGGATGTTTTGCTGAGCTGTCTTAGTACTAAAGTATCAGCAGAAATAGAAAACTATTCACTTTTTTTTTTTTTTTTTCCCCACCGAGTTAATTTTCTGTCACTTTATCATGCTGAAATGACTCAGCAAAGGACATGACAAAGCATCCAGGGCTGGTACAAAGGAGGGGGCAGGAACACGTTACCCAGGGAAAGGGAAGTGAGAGAGGAAAGTCTTTTCCTCTTTATATATAATATAACTTTAAATATAATATAACTTTAAATATATATAAAATAAGGGCAGAGAGTTGGACTGTTAGATTACTCTAGGCTGCCGGTGAACTTCAGGCTCAACCAGGTGTGCTCATGGTGGCATCCCATAGGTGCAAGGGCAGGCAAAAAGTGAGAGGAGGCAGCAGGCAGCTTGAAGGCAGAAAAGGAAGGGAGAGCAGGACCTTCCCCTCTGGTCACGGTGGGCTGTTAGGGAAGCTCCAGCCATCTCATTATGACTTACTTGGGATGGCAGTACCTAATGGCCAAGTCCTTTCCACAGCGTTGGCGTCAATTTGTCTTTCTTCCATTGATTTTCAGGAAACTTTTTAAGAATTTAGTTATCCTTCTACTCTCTTTCCTATTCAGCTGAGCAAGTTCCAAAGTTTTCCTTTGGGGAGAGGCGGAAAATTTGACCAATTTTTTTTTTTTTTTTTTTTTTTTTTTCCCCACCGAGTTAATTTTCTGTCACTTTATCATGCTGAAATGACTCAGCAAAGGACATGACAAAGCATCCAGGGCTGGTACAAAGGAGGGGGCAGGAACACGTTACCCAGGGAAAGGGAAGTGAGAGAGGAAAGTCTTTTCCTCTTTATATATAATATAACTTTAAATATAATATAACTTTAAATATATATAAAATAAGGGCAGAGAGTTGGACTGTTAGATTACTCTAGGCTGCCGGTGAACTTCAGGCTCAACCAGGTGTGCTCATGGTGGCATCCCATAGGTGCAAGGGCAGGCAAAAAGTGAGAGGAGGCAGCAGGCAGCTTGAAGGCAGAAAAGGAAGGGAGAGCAGGACCTTCCCCTCTGGTCACGGTGGGCTGTTAGGGAAGCTCCAGCCATCTCATTATGACTTACTTGGGATGGCAGTACCTAATGGCCAAGTCCTTTCCACAGCACTGGCGTCAATTTGTCTTTCTTCCATTGATTTTCAGGAAACTTTTTAAGAATTTAGTTATCCTTCTACTCTCTTTCCTATTCAGCTGAGCAAGTTCCAAAGTTTTCCTTTGGGGAGAGGCGGAAAATTTGACCAACACTTTAAACAATTGCGTAAGTCTATTCCCATAGGAAACAAATCAATAAATAATAAAATACACACCTATAAATGGGTATGTAATTAAAGGGATGCTGTTAACTGCAATTATTTTAATTAACCAATTAAAATAGTAAAAATATTTTCAGATAGAGTTCTTTAACTAATATCTCCTGTGTAAAAGAATATCCCCTTTACAGGTGTTTCTTTTTTCCCTCCGGTTTCCTACCTGGGGCTACAGAAGGGACTGGAAACTCCGGGTTGACGAAAGAATAAGGACTAATATGCTCCAGTTTATCTCCTAGATAACCTTTTTTGCCCTCCCCCGTGTATATTCCCTGGCTGCCTCTTCCTTTCCCTTCTCTGCTGCCTCAGCAAACAGCTGCTTACAGTGCTGTGGGAAAGCAGGAGTCTGTGCTCTGCAGTGGGGGAAAGCGATGCCATCCAGCTCATGCCGGAGCGTGATGCTCATTTTGAGAAAAGCTGCCTTTCTAATTACAGTCGTGGGCTGTTTCACTGCTTTTTTTTTGAGCATTGACTACACACTTCGAGCATTTACAGCAGAACCCTCCATTGCTGTCAGTGGAACACATGCGTGATGTGTGTTTATGTGGATTGACAGAAAATACATAATAGTTTTCCTGGAGGAATTAGGCAATTAGAGAGTTCTGAAAATCCCAGAGGGGGGCTATCTGCATCATTAAACACTTAACTAGGCCGTCTCAAAATGGAGCTAACTGCTTTTGAAAATCTCTTCAATGCTTCATTGTCACAATTCAGCATCATTAACGGGGAAGATTTAGTATTATATCATTGCTTTTCTCTTGTTCCTTTCTTTTCTTTCCCATACTCCTTTCCACTTGGTTTTGTGTCTCTTCTTCATCCCCCCTCCCCCACTGCATATACATTCTTTCAGCAAACAGCAGTGTTGGCCTTGGGTTTCATACCCACCCCCCCTTTCCCACCTTCCTATCATAAAACAATGAGCAAAAAGAATAAGGGAGAACAGGTCATTTTACACCTCTGAGAGCTATTGTTTTCAGGACAATAAGCCATGAGAGACTCAGAGGTGCAGCACTGTAAGAACTGAATTAAGTTCAAATTTGGAAAGCCTAGGTTCCTTCCTTTCCCTCTCCCCAAAACAGGATAAAGAAAAAAATAATATTTCATTTACTTGATAATTTACTTGATAACTCTGCAGAATCTGAATACTCAATGAGCTCTGTATACAAAGGACTAGATATGACTCATGAATCATATGGCTGACAACACTGCAGTACAGAAAGGAAGTCTGCCAATCAACAGAAATGTGATACTGATCATACACAAGTGTGATCAGATGCATAAAACAAAAACATTTTTCTGCTATTTTTGTTCATTTATTTACTACAGTGATCACTGCTGTATTTCTGTGAACGCTTAAATGGTTGGGCTTTGCTCTGCTCAGAAGCTTGTGCCCAACTAGTATGTGTTTATGGCACCAGAGTCTTTGCAATTACTTCTACTTGATGCACCATTTTCTGATGGAAATGGGATTTTCACTTAATAAATGTATATTTCATATCACAGTCAATATAATGGCTCACTTCTAAGCATTCTCAGAAATTTGCCTTCTCCAAATATGCTCATGTGGGCCTCATAAGTCATTTTTGTATTTCTTCCTGTAAGATTATTAGCCATTCATTATTTTAACCAATAATTATTCTTCAAAAAATTCAATAATTTCTTACAAGAAAAGGTATGGGATTATTTGTATGGTTAAGAGAAGGTTTTGGCCAGGATTCTGACAGTGATTTGCAATGGCTTTGGAACATATGCTTTTAACATCAAAATAGGAGAATAAGTTTATAAATTTGAATTTTTGTAGAATTAGTTAATACTAATCTACTGGAATTCATAGAGATGAATTCTGATGAGCAAATGGCAGTCTGCAGTATAATCACATCTTAAAGCAATAAAACTGTAATCAGCAAATCCAGGAAATCCATTCAGAATTCTGAAGAAAATTATTCATGCAATAAATAATATGCAAAGATTAGTCTTGGAGGCATTACGAATCGGTATGTTTTATTTGATTAAAAGGAGTGTAGGTACAGAATACGAGCAGCAGTATAGTAGGAAAAGAATCTTAACTTCAGAAAGAAGTGAAGTTGGGAGAACAATATAAGCTCAGACTTGATGTAAAGATGATGAAAGTGTTTACCAGTAACCAGAGTTCCTCCCAGTGTAAAATCCCCGTGTTCATTTGTACCGCAGGTGTGTGCAAGTGGACGTAGGAGAAGGACATTTTCACTTTGCCTGTATCGGGGAGCACTCAGCCTGCCTTCCCTCCACCTCAGAGCACGTGAAGTGGATCATCCTCATCCAGGAACTTCTCAGCCACGGAGCCCCAGGTGACCATCAGAAGGAAAGAACGCTTGTGTGAATATCAGAGCTTGAAGACCTTCAGTCAGTAGTAAGTAGGCTGGCCTTTTCACTTCTACATACAAAGATAGATATTTATGTGTGGAAATTTATAAAGTGGGGTTACATGTAGAAGAGGGAAGTTTCCAAATACCCATAGTGAGAAGCCTGGCTCCTTCATGCAAACAGCATCAGCCGTGGATGCTTCAGAGATGGTAGATACCTGGTAAAGTTGATGGCTGAAGCTTCAGGTGGCTGCTCAGAGCTGAGGAGTGGGGACAGAGGACATCAAGAGGGGAAAAGTCTGGTACTCGCTGCCCATGGGAGAACTGCAGGTGGATCTTTGGGGATACCTTACTCAGAAGGAACATCTTATAAGGGGAAATCATCTGTAAAAACTTGCATTTTTCCACTTCTGAAGATAACTGCGACGAGGAAGGATTCCTCCACAGAGAAATGCTAACAATGAGCGAACTGCTGGTAGCATGGGGGGCAGCTCACGGGGATTTACAGGAACCCAATTTAACTTCCATTTTTTTGTGATTCTCATCTAGACCAACTGGTGTAGACTAGTTTTTGGCATGCAGGTCAAAGCTAGGGCTTTCCGAGCGGACAAGCCTCATCCTTTCTTCACACGCAGAGGAGCGTATTTTAGTGCAAAATCCATCCCACCCTTTTTTTATCTGCACACCACAGCCCTGTCTGTTATGCATTATGCACAATGCTCAGCAATTGTCTGCTCTAACCACAATACCCAACCACAGCATGTTGCTCAGAACAAGCCTAGCACACATTGGTAACCTTTGCATAGCCCACATGGCAAACACACCCCACCTGCCCCAATTTTGCTTCCTGCAGCTGCCACTGGACCTGCTCCTTGTGCAACAGCTTGAGAACCAGTATCTCAGGTCTCTCCTTAGCCTGCCTGGGCCAGGTAAGCCATCTTGAGATGTCACATCTCAACACCTCGCAGAACCTTAGAGTCACAGAATGGTTAGAGTTGGAAGGCACCTTAAAGATCATCCAGTTCCAACCCCCCTGCCATGGGCAGGGACACCTCCCACCAGACCAGGTTGCTCAAAGCCCCATCCAGCCTGGCCTTGAACACCTCCAGGGATGGGGCAGCCACAGCTTCTCTGGGCAACCTGTTCCAGTGCCTCACCACCCTCACAGGAAAGAATTTATTTATAGTATCTAACCTAAATCTCCCCTCTTCCAGTTTAAAACCATTACCCCTCATCCTATCACTACATTCCCTGATCAAGAGTCCCTCCCCGTCTTTCCTGTAGCCCCTTTAGGTACTGAAAGGGCCTTTAAGGTCTCCCTGGAGCCTTCTCTTCTCCAGGCTGAACAACCCCAGCTCTCTCAACTTGCCATCTTCTAGACTTACATGAAATAGATTTTTTTTCTTTTTTCCAATGACTTTTTTTTTTTTTTTTGCCATTACCAATACTTCATAATTTAGGAGATTTTGCATCTTGCAGACTAACATTCCCAGTGTACCTGGGATGAGCAGCAGATAATTAAGAATTCTTGGCCAGAGGAGGCCACATGCGAGATGCCTGTCTCAGAGTCAGCACCTGCTATTCAGCATTCTGGGCATAGGGGATGCCAGTTTCCCATGGCCAGGGAGAATCCCTACAGCCTGATGCATCTCCCACCATCTCTTTACGAGGGGTTTGGTGAACCCTTCAATGTGGATTAGCCCTGTAAGTTATGTCTTTCAGCCTGCCTAGATCCATCTCAGCACAGCTGCTGCCTCCGAGCGATCCTGGGCCCTGGGACGCCAGGCAAATGTGTGTCGGTGACAGCACCGGGGGCTGTAGGGCCAGAAAGGCACTACTTTAAAGAATGTTCATTCAAACCAGCGCTCAAAGGGCTGAATTTTTCTCTCCATACATCACCAAAAAAAGCACTGATTTCCTTCCTTCCTCTGCACCTCCTCAAGAAGACAAAAGCAAGAGTTTCCTCTTTATACAAAAAGATATAAAAAAACCCCAATCCCCTCACTTCCTTTTCCCACCTCCTTCCAAAGTGATGAAAGGCACCAGTTTTTCTCTCCTTCCCACCAACTTACCCAAAGAATACAACTCGCCATCTTCTTAACACCTCATAGACCAGTAATGCTCCTCACAAAGGTCAGTGGTCAGGCCTCTGCCATGAAAGGCCCTTTCTCATAAGTAGAAGTTTGCCATGATTAACCCCTAAAATATAATAATAAAACCAAATGCTTACCTGCTAAAGCTTCATCTAGTGTTGCTATGCAGACCACCTCAGTGGGGAAGCCCTGAATTCAGCCACCATGAATAAGGGATGCTCAAAGTTGCTTGGGCAGGTTCTGTTGCTTGATGGGCTGACAGGGCATGTGGCTCCTTGGATAAGCTTTAAACAGGGCTGAAAGTTAGAAGGTGCCTGAAGAGCTTTTGAAGAACCTGCAATAAAGCTCTCTGACCCTGCTAGTGGGTGAGATGCTGGTGCATGTCGCATCTCCACCAGGACCCACCACCACCTCAAGTAGCACTTGGGAGGTCTTCAGTTCTGTATTTCTTTGAAGAATGGCACCTGCCTGGAACATGTCCCATTGCAGTGTTGGGACATACTGTCAAGCAGAGCCTTCTCTTCAATGTGGGAAAAAATCCTGGAGTCCAACAAGTGCCCGTAGCATCCGTGCCTCCTTTTACCAAGTAGGTCCAGCTGACCTCCCAGGGGTTCATATAACCTGTGACAGGGCAGACCATCCATGTTTGCTCACTAGGACATCAGATTTTATAAAATCTGCCTGATATACGTAGGTGAAACATACACACATGTGTACAAACTCCACCCCACCCTTGCACTGACAGAGCGATGCCACCATCTGACCTTCTGACCAACCAGCCTTCCATGGGGCTGATAAAAGACACGTGTAAGCAACCTCCTGACCCCGGGGCCATAGTTTAAAGCAGGTATCAAAGAGCTGTAAATCCTGACACAGAAAAGAATAATCATGCTTTCAGCTCAGTGAAGGCAGCAAAGCATTCTGAAACACAGTATTCCCGTTTCTTTCCCTGGTCCATCATTTTATCCACTTCATTTCATTTATCCAGCTGTTATTAGCGTTAACCTTGTGAGCAAAGCAAAGAGGCTTGGAAAAGAAACTCTAAAAAAGGGTGAAGAAAATCCACGGCATATTTCTAGAGAACAAAAAGCACCATTCCAATGAACACAGAAGAAGATGAGATGTCAGCGGTTTAGTTTTAAGCTTTATTTCTGCTCTAAAACCAAAGACCTCTTTCTAGCCTAATAGAATTATAGACTCGAGTCTCCATTAATAGCGTGCATGGCGCCAGTGTAATAAAAAATGGAAATTCATTGTCCAAGAATGATTGATGAAGTTCAGTAATTCATGTCAGAGTTTCCACTACATTGTGCTTCTCAAAAAAATCTCAGGTCCAACTAACTAACAGCATGCTCCGTTAGACATTGATCCTTTAATGAATGTGTGCACTTTACCAAGTGTATTTTGGCAACGTTACAAGCATGGATGTGAGAGAGAGAGAGAATATGTGCAGTAAAATATTCAGCAACATTTCTAATCTGCTTTGTACTTGGTATCTTTAATATATTCATTTCATCTTTCCACCCTCCGGGACAAATATATACCAGGGAACATGTAAACTTCTGAAAAAATGCATGTTTTTTAATATTGAGTTCAGCAGAATATGTAATAAATAGACATGAAGAAGCAGAGATCAGATTTAAGGATTATTTTAGCAATAGGCTTTATTTCAGATCTACAACCGTGAATAAAAATAATGCATACAAAATATTAATTAGCTCATTTTCGACCATTTGTGCCTCTGTAGCTCTTCACCAAGTGAGCTTGCTTACTTTTTTTTTTTTTTTTTTTTTTAACCATGTACATTTAGTTTTAATGGTTCGGCTCTTCTTCAGTCATCAATAGGGAGCCTTGTTACCATGGTGACAGACAGATGGATTAATGCGATGTTTAGAGAGAGTTACCATGGTGACAGACAGATGGATTAATGTGATGTTTAGAGAGATACAGTTTTTTTTTTTTTTTTTTTTTTTAACCATGTACATTTAGTTTTAATGGTTCGGCTCTTCTTCAGTCATCAATAGGGAGCCTTGTTACCATGGTGACAGACAGATGGATTAATGCGATGTTTAGAGAGATAGTGCCAAATTTTGATATATACAGTAGGCACCAATGCACTGCACACACAAGAGGGCAGGCATGCAGAACATCTCAGGGAGAGTCCTCCATGTGCACAGAGAGAGCCTTGACACAAAATTCCCATTATCTTCCGACAGAAAGTGGCCGTCTATCTCCCACTTGATGCCCTTCAAAACCACCCTGTTGGGAGTCATGGGCCGTTGCTCTACAAACTTAGAATGGATGTCTAACGAGGGCTGTTGGAAAGGGCTGCTGTCAACACCTCACGGGGCAGCTACACGTATTAGGCCACGGAGCTACCGGGCATCTCAGAATGATTATCTATAATCCACCTCTTGAAATACAGCCCGACACCTTCAGCTGAGACCTCTACATCCGCCTGTTCGCTTTACTCATTGCAGGGCTCACTAATTAGAAAGAACTGCGAGGTGTACAAACATCACTGGATTGTTGCAGAGCACAAACAGATTGCGTGTCGAGTAATTCTTCTTAGAACGTTCACACTTCCTTCTCTTTCAGACCTTAATGACCTGCACCTTCCTTGCCCACCTCACTCCCTTCCCTAAAGCTGCTAATGAGCTTTCCTCTTTTCAAAGTATCAGCTTAACGGTTTGTGTCTTGCAAAAATCCTCAGATGGAGATGAAATTAATACAGGAGGAAAATGTGTGACAGTTACGCTATGAACCCCTGTCATTTCAACTATGAATCCCCCATGCTCACAGAACTAAGAGGTTATGCTAGCTGCAGAGTTTAATTTATTTTATATTATTTTATTTTACTTTATTCTCCATGCAACATCTGAGTCATTCTATCACTGCCGAACATCTTCACTGCAGAAGCCTATAAGCTGCTACATGGACTGAAAAGTCAGGTATTTTTAAGACAACTGAAATTCTAGCACAAACTTGGTGCTCCCAGAAATATTCTAGATGTGAAATCAGAAGTACTTTATCTGGATCACACTATTAATTTATGTTACAAGAATAATTTAATTAGAAATGTTTTCCATCTGTCTACACAAAGTGATAATTATCATTCATTAGGAGCCTAACATTCAGCTCTCCTTCCAGGCCTTTTTAAATTGTAATATTAAACTATAGCAATTAAGCTCCGTGAATGACCGCAAAAAACGGCCTTTGGATCTAATTGCACCGAAGCTGATTAGGAGAAGTATACATCTCATGTTTGTGCCAATTAATTTTACCGTTGGCTTTCTCAGCAGGTAATGCACTACACAAGTTCATACTGGCCATCTCCCCGTGACAAATGAAACACCAGTTCAATTTCCTTCCTCTGCCAGGTGCTCTGCAGCACATGCCATTGCAGAGGGTGCCCAAATCGGTGTCATTGGCCACACAAGGACAGCCAGTGGCCCTCCCGTGGGCCCACCCAACAGAGCAGCCTCTGAACGTGGCATCTGAGGGACTTCTGCTGCCCGGTGGTGTCCCATGCCAGCAGCATGTCCCTCCTGCCCTGCAGCCACCGTGGTGCAGGGTGTTGCTTCAGAGCCAGGTGACAATGGGCCAAGCTTGGAGGTACCCTGGCCCACTAACTGATTTGTGGGGGACTCTACCCACACGTCCCAAGTCACCCAGGCTGGAGGGGAGCTCAGGAGGCCTCAGGCCAACCTCCTCCCCAAAGCAGGCCCAGTTCAGAGGAGCTCACTCAGGGCTTTATTCTCTTCAAAATCTCCTCAGAAGGAGACTGCACAACCTCCCTGGGCAGCCTGGTCTGAGCCTGACCATCCTCATGGGGACCTGTTTGAGCTATGGACAGTCATCTCCTGGAGCCCACGGCAGGAAACATATAGGATGGACAACTCCATGCTTTGGACTATCACCAAGAGGCCTCCTGTGTCCTGCCAACCATAATTTTGGAAG